ATTACTTAATCTTAATTAATTATAATTACTACACAACTTAATTAATTTATCTAATCCCCATTACGACTTAATTTAATCCTTCTAAATTTTATTAATTTGAATTAGATTTTTGATCAATTTCTCAAAAAAACTCCAAATATTAAATTAAATTTATTACCATTATCAATTTTGATTTCCCAAATCACTAAATCCTTTAATTTCAAATCAAACTCAAAATTTCTCACAATAATTTACGCATTCAAATTATACCTTATAAGTAAATTTAATTCATAATAATGTAAATTCACAATCCTCATAACTTAATTAACTTAAGGGCGAATTATACTAATGGTCTCTATGGTTTGGGACTTGTGTCACTTTGGTTCGTGACTTTTCAATTCTAACACATTTTATCCTTAATTTTGAATCTTATTTCAAATAAAAACAATTGAAAATTCATTGCTCAATTTCAAGGGCAAACTAGTCAATTTGATGAAATATAAAATAGTTTGACAAATATACATATCAAAAAATTATTTTTAAATTTTTAAAAATTATTTATACCCACCTAAGATAAAATTATATCAAATTAATAAATCTTTTACATATTTATTTATTTATTTATTTATTTTTAAAAAATTAATTTTTAATATATGTTCAGATGATGATCATGTAATGGGTAGTTGTTTTTATTTTCATTAAATTAGTTTCTATTTTTTCAAAAGTTAAATATGGCGACAATTTTGATATCATTATTAAATCAATCCATTAAATCAAAAATCCAAAACTAAAAATATTTCATATGTTCAATATACAACCATTACATTATCATTATCCAAATACATAATAAAATTTAATTTGGAAAAAATAAATAAATATGTAAAAGGTTTATCAATTTCACATAATTATCTTTGGTTGGTAGAAATAATTTTTAAAAAATAAAAAATATTTTTTACATTTAATTTTGTCAAATTAGTTTATATTTTATCAAATTGACGACTTTGCCTTTGAAATTGAGCAATGGTCTCTACAATTGTTTTTATTTGAAATAAGATTCAAAATTCAGTGTCAAATGTATCACAATTAAAAAGTCATGGACCAAAATGACACAAGTCCCAAACTATAGGAACTGTTAGCATAATTCGCCCTTAACTTAATTAACTCCAATTCAGACCCAATTAATCAAATCTTAATTTTACTAAACGAAATTGAGACTGAATCGAATATATAATTAAATTTCTATATGGTCCAATACTCGAAATTAAACTAATTCAACTCATTAATTCCACAATTAAATCAGAATAATAACTAATTAAAATCCAAATCATCTTAATTAATTAAATGCTAAATATTAGAAAGTTTGGTCCTCCAAACTTAAGGCACTTGTACCTGAAAACCAATCATATAGCTTTGCCTCATTTCATTCTTCTTTTCCAAGTAACTTCCTTACCATTCGATTTTCTCATCACAAGAGTTCGACTTATTCTCATTTATTTGTTGGTTAACAACCCAAATTGGTGATTCATCATAGTCTGTATTGTCATCAAAGGTCATTCAATAATAATCAATAATACGTACTAGACCTTGAAGTCGACCTCATAACATTAAACTACAAAACATATTAATCACAATATACTATTCTCATCAATCACTTAATCCATATACTTCTATTCATCTATTCACATGTCTCCAATAATTCACGTATCTTCAAATAATTCATATATTTCCAAATAATCCACATGTCTCTAAATAGTCGAGGTTTAATCTCAAATGATATTCACAATAATACTTAACTTCAAATAAATCAAAATACCCCACTATTGACATTTCATATAAAGTCTTCAAAATAGATTAGGTGATCGATATGACATCAATAACAAATTCAAATTCTCGGTCCACCAATTCCTTTGCAATAATAATCCGAATATTTGTTCCTAGACAATTCATAAGCCTTCCATAACAAATCAAATAGGGTGGAGATCTACTCCATTAGTTTGACAAGAAAAGTGATTTAATATCGGAGATTGAAAACAACTCGCTTAGGCATTTGCTTAGTAGTTGGAAAGTCTATCCATAGACCACATTATATCTAATGATCCGTGTCAAAGGTATTGAGTCATATTCGTGATATAATATTTCCAAATAATATAAATCCCCCAGATGATGATGATATATTTTCCACTCAATAATAATGCCAATGATCTATTCATTCTATAACCAAATGGGCCAAAACGAAAGGACGAGTCTTGAATCAATCATCATACAAACGTTGGTTCACATGTAGTAAGAGTGCTCAATAGTGGTCTTGGCAAATCGAAACATTTTCATCCTAATTGTTTTAACAACCTCAAACTAAGTTCCAAATGCCCAAGCAGATGAGTTCTAAATTTACCAATAACCAATTAAACAAACATAAGGATATCAATTCTAACTCAAGAGTTTTTGCATTTACTAAACATATTCTAATTGGTCTCTTCTACAACAAAAGTTTTAACACATTCTTTGATTCATTCGTTGGCTAGTACTATATTGGCATAGACACTCTATGAGTCATTATTTTCGTACTCATTCAAATTCTCAAGTGTGTATATAAATATATATAGATATATATATATATATATATATACATACTAACTTATTCCAATCTTCAAGTGACATTAAAGCTATCATCAAATTATTTTTAAAATTAAACTTTTGACTTTCTCAATCCTTTGCAAATTAGTCAATTAAAATTCCTTTGTTCCAAAAGGCTCTTAAAGAAACACACATTTATAACTTCGACAAAGAATAGTTTCTTGCTTTCTATTACGCATTAACTCTTTTGACTAACACTAGAAGTGAACTTCTTTTCCAACGTTGACAATGCAATCTTAGTAAATGGAATCGTTCTCCTTCCAACATTAAATAGGCCAATCTTCATTTTTTTGGGTGGATAGGCCAATCTTCATTGGTTTAACTCTTAGTCACATTTCATTAATTCTAGCAATGTCGATCGAGTTTTAAATGTCTAAGTAAACGAATCTTAAATTTATCAAACATTAGGTAGGAAAGATTCACGTAACCAGAACATGTATGATATAACAATCCCAAAATTCTATACACATACTTAAAGCACTCACTTACTTAACATTGGGCTTGGAACTAATCTTTAAACTGACTATCTGACTTGAAATCTCCTTAAAAATTTATTATTTTTGAATAATCCTTTATTAGTTGCTCTATCTCTCCACATTTGAAACATGCTCCCGAAAATTCGATAACACACCCTGTATAACACTTCTAACAAATTGAACATTTTGGGAATGAACTTATACCTTGCTTAAACTTACTCGTGTCTCCTAATTTTGCTCGACAATTAACACTTTACTTCTTAGACATATTCTGTAATTTCTTCTTACATATCAAACGGTTTTCTTATTCTCAATCACCTCAATCACCATAGCTCCACACATTTCATTGATCATCAAATATCTTAACTTCCAAATATTCTCATAGTCTAATTTGACATATAACCCATAAGCTTTCATAACTTCCATCAAGGATTTTAATTTCTTATAATCATCTTGGATTCAACATCGGCGTTGTGAATTCAACGTTGTACAAGACAATTCCGAGATGAAGACGGTGGTGGAAGAAGCATATAGGGGTTAGTTCAATTCGGGCATGGATTCACTAAGTAATTGAAGGTACACTTGTGTAATTCCTTTTTGTCTTTTTAGTGAATTATTTTGAGAGTTTTGCCTGTGGGTTTTTTTTTTTCACAATTGGAGGCACTCTAATTGTGATTTTTTCACGTTAAATTGTTGTGTCGATTTGTCTTTAATTATTTGATTGAAATTGTTATTTACTGTTTAAAATTGATATATAATCACAAATCAATATCTCGGGAATTTTAAGATTTTTCAATTAGATTTGTATACATACATGTATAACTTTAGATTTGTATATATGATGTGTCTTCTATGTCTCAATTCAGAAGCAATCAATAAAAAAGTTGAGATCAGGCAAAGCATTAAGCTTTAGCAATGAATGTGACTTCACCAACGAACGGTACTCTTGCCTAGCTCATCATCATCTTTGTTGCCACCATGCTCACCGTCTACACTGATCATTACGTAATTCTATTCTAATTTTTTATCTATGCAAATATAAAGGCAAGGTTAGGGAAATTTATAGGTACGGCTAGGTTGAGAAAAGGCAAAAATAAAAAGATGAAAAGGCTTAATTTTAGGTTTTCCTATTTTATATTTGTGTGATTCTCTCCTTTTAAAACCCAAAAATTATGGGATAGTTTTCATAATTTTGAATTTTAAAATTTATTTCTTGACAGGCTAACTAATTAAAAAAAAAAACCTATTTTTTAAATAAAAAAATTAAAAAAATTAGTTTGAGAGATTGAACAAACAAAAGAGAATGGTTGATTTGTATACATACATGTATAACTTTAGATTTGTATATATGATGTGTCTTCTATGTCTCAATTCAGAAGCAATCAATAAAAAAGTTGAGATCAGGCAAAGCATTAAGCTTTAGCAATGAATGTGACTTCACCAACGAACGGTACTCTTGCCTAGCTCATCATCATCTTTGTTGCCACCATGCTCACCGTCTACACTGATCATTACGTAATTCTATTCTAATTTTTTATCTATGCAAATATAAAGGCAAGGTTAGGGAAATTTATAGGTACGGCTAGGTTGAGAAAAGGCAAAAATAAAAAGATGAAAAGGCTTAATTTTAGGTTTTCCTATTTTATATTTGTGTGATTCTGTCCTTTTAAAACCCAAAAATTATGGGATACATTTCATAATTTTGAATTTTAAAATTTATTTCTTGACAGGCTAACTAATTAAAAAAAAAAAAAAAACCTATTTTTTAAATAAAAAAATTAGAAAAATTAGTTTGAGAGATTGAACATATTTTATTTATTTGTTTGTTTAATTAAGAAATTACAACTTCCATCAAAGAAGTTGTAACTTCCATGAAACCATCATATTAGATAGTGATATATCTCATGTTAATTACCCAAATATTATTGATTACATATATATATATATAAATAAAAACAATGTGGCATGTGAGCCACTTTATGGAGACATGCTTACATCATAAATTAGTCACGACAAAATCTTAGACACCTCTGGCATAACTTCCGACCCAGAAGCTTTTTGTTCAACTTCAGGAGCTTTAATTTCTTCATTCTCCTTCTCCTTCTTCTCCTCCAAGAACCTGATGAGGCCTCTCAGAGCCCTCTCAGGCTCATCGCTCTTCATCAACTGCTCGCCTATTTCAGCCGGAGTCACCTTCTTCATCTCTATCAATACTTTGGCCTCCAAGAAGAGCGGGTGCTCTGTAATTCCAAGGTAATTGGAGGCAAGCATTTTGAAGCTACAAGGGGTGCAATAGGACATGTGAATGTGCACGTCCATGCGACCTGGACGCAATAAAGCAGGGTCGAGCTTGTCTATGTGATTTGTTGTGAACACTATGATTCGCTCGTCCCCACAACTTGACCACAATCCATCAATGAAGTTCAGCAGTCCTGATAAGGTAACCTAAAATTCAGAAAAAACTTAAAATGGATTAGTAACTTGTTCTTGATGGATGGATGGACCTTTCTTAGGAAGAAAGAACTAGAACTATGTAGGAGTCTTTTAGGTCATGTTTTACAAGCGAATTAGAAATTTTTTAGTACTAAACCTTTGTAATACTATGGGATTAAGGTTAGGATCAATAATATATAACATAGAGGATACTTGTGTTATGTTTGATTGTGATAAGAAGAAGATTATTTTTACCATTGAATTAAGTGTTTTGGCTAATTAGAGAGCCATGGGATTAGAAATACCATGGAGGGGGTGGTGTTATTAATCCCACCTCGGACTAACAATCTCATTGCATTGTGCAAATCAAACACGTTTATTAGATAATTAAAACTCCCAAATAATCATCAACCATTCAAAGATACTATGTCAATGTAGACACATTTTTAGTAACATCCCAGTTGCTGAACAATTAGCAAGCACACTGTAAAAAATGTGAACTGCCATGGTAAGGTTGTAAAATCAATCATGATAGTGTAGTCCTATTTCACTTGTTAAAAACTCGTTTAAAACTCGTTTGAAATTGATTTATTATGTAAATCAATTGAAATTTATTTTAAAACTTACTAAATTTTAAGTGAAATTTTACTAACTTGTAATCGCACTTCACTTGATTATATGTACTACAATAAAGCAAATAACTCAAACCTAGCTTGTAATGGGCTCACTTAGATCGAATCCAAAAGTAAACTGTAACTCGCCTCACATCCAACCACCACATTCATCTATCACTACCTTTACAACTTACCAAATATAATCGACACAATTGGATTCGTTTACAATTCAATCACGTACATCAAACTGATCAACAAAGTATGCAAAGATATGCAGTGTTCCTTTGTGCTAGTATATATATTCCCTTTGTCTTAAATTTGAAATTTGAACTTTTTAAGGAGATAAATAATTATTATATTTAAATTTAAATTTAAATTTGAAAGCATTGATTACGAAAATACCTTTCTATTCTCATTATGAATAAGTGACAATTTTAAAAACTTATAAATTTAAAGTTTTGACTTTTTAAAATGCACATCCAATTTAGAACAACCAAAAATAAAAGAAGGGAAGGGACGAAGGGAGTATATGTGTGTGTGAGCAGTAATTTACTTACTCCAGAACCTTGATTATACGCATAATAAGGATCCCTGGTTCTGGCAGCGGCAGCCATAGCCGCAGCCTTCATTCTATCCTGCAACTCAATGGAGCAATCAATGTCTTCCACAACTAGTATCGATTGGTTGGCCGTCGTAATCAGCAAATTCCTGAGATCCGCATTACTCCTCAGATCAGTCAACTCCAAGTCATACACATCAAAATTCAAGTAATTGGCCATGGCCGCGATCAAGCTCGACTTCCCCGTCCCAGGCGGACCAAACAACAAGTAGCCTCTCTTCCACGCCTTCCCAACCCTCCTGTAAAACTCTTTTCTCTTCACGAACCTCTTCAGATCCTCCATTAACGTCCTTTTCTCATCCAAATCCATCGCCAACGTATCGAAATTCGCTGGATGATCCAGATTCACCGACTGCCACGGGTTGTTGATTCTACCGCCAATCCGACCGTCACGCTTCAGAGTGAAGAGCTTCAGGGTCTTCTTCTGATCCTTGGCGATCTTCGATTTCTCCAAAACGTAGGGCAAGTACTCGTCGATGACCTTGGATAAGTGCTTCTTGTGGAATCTGAGTTGGAAGAATCGGAGCTCTGTTTGGAGTGTTGAACTGTAATGGTCGTGGGGATCGGGAACGTACTTGGCTGGGATTTGTTTGGAGATGAATTGCCAATTGAGCTTGAATCCATTGAAAGTATCGGTCAGATCTTCGTTTCGTTCCATGGAGAGGTTAATTTTGGTTTCCTTTTCGGGTTTGGTGACTCGGAAGCGTTTGGTGGAGGGGCTGATGATGGTGCCGAGGTAGATCTCGGCGGCGTGGAAGATGTGATTGCGGTTGAGGCCGTCGAATTCGTCGATGACGAGAGTGATCTGATTGGAAAAAGTGCTGAGGAAGTCGCGGAGCTTGACGGCGATATACTGTTGGAACTCGTAAGGAATGAAGTCTTTCGCGACCGACCGGACCACCATCGCCGTCGCGGCGGCGGAGGCAACCGCCGATATCACTGCTTTTGTCGACGGCATTTGGTGGATGTTTGACAACATGGTGATGGAGATTTTTCGATGATTTTGGGGGTCTCAAATTCAATATGTTGTGTGTTTTATCAAAAACTAAAACAGAATTAAACACTCTAAAACAGAAAATCAAACAAGTGGGGGGGATTCTTGAGAATGGGGAGATTTGTTTTTGTGGGTTTGGTCTGAGATGAATGGGGATCATGCAAATATTATTATTGTACAAACAGAAATAGAAGTAGACTTTGAGGAAGACTTTAGCGACTTTGGAACGACGATGACTCTGAAGATGATCTTGTTTTTTTGGGTACAAAACAAAATATGATTTAGTGGGTTTGATTTGAGTTTTTTATATTAAGTTTTTTAAAAATTAGATTTTTTAGTTTTTATTTTTTTTTTTTTTATTTTTAGTGAATATTTTTAAAATTTTAAATATATATTTTTATTTTTTTAGATGTACTTTACTTAGATGTATATAAAAAGTAAAAAATTTGTAAAAAAATATTTTAAAAAATTAATAAATATATAAAAATAAAAAAATGTATTAAATTTTCGTTTTTTTTTATATTTTTGGTATTTAGTGAATTTTTAAAAGGTTTTTTCACAATTTTTTTACTTTTTAAGGATATGTTTAAAAATAGTTTTGGTATTTAGTAAATTTACTTTTTAAAAATATTTTAGGTATGTTTAAAAAGTAAAAAAAAAAAAAAATTGTTTAAAATATTAAAAAAAATTAGTAAAAACAAAAAATCACAAAAAATAAGAAAGCAAAATTTTCTAAAAGGTATTTTTTTAAAAAACCTAATCAAGCAAGCTGAAATTATTGTTTTGTGATTAACTATATCAAATGTCATAAATATTTTGAATTCCTTTTTTTTTTGATATATTTTAATATTAAAAATTATATTTTATAAATGGAGATGGTTTCACACTAGTTCACATGATAGATTGCAGTGTAATGTTAAGCATGTGGAGTTTATCATGAGTCTTATTTTTATAATTTGAATTGTTCAATGCTTAGAGCTCATCGACTACTTTATGACTACAAAAAATAATGTTGATTAGATATCAGTAATATTTTGATTGAAACACATTTTTGTTAATAATTTATTTTTAAAATCATATTTACCATTGATAAAAATGTGTTCCACATAATCAACTGGAGAGAAAAATTTTCCTTTAGAATATATATATTCAGGAGAAAATTATTGAAAAGTCTTTAACAATTGTCTAAAACATTAGATCGAGCGGATATTTTTTATTAATGAGAAATCCACCATTTGTAAAATAGTTTTTGCAAGTCATTTTGGTTGTTATGAAAAACATTTTATTTTCAATTTTACCCCTTAATTTATTTGTTGACTTTTTTTTATCTATTGACTTTTATTGACTATCTGTTTAATTTTTTTCCCTATCTGTTCAATTTTTTTACCCTATCTATTTAAATTGTTGTTATCTGTTTAAATTTTTTATATGTTCAATTTTTTTAACTATTAAAATAACAATTCATTTTTTTTCATCTGTTGAAACGGATTTGATCTAATCTATAATATATTCAACAGATTACAATCATTCATCATTATCATCATCAACAACAACAATAGAGTATGGTTCGTAGTCCACCTGTACTCAGATTTATAGTTTTGATAAAAGTCTTACACCATTGTTCATCACAAGGTGTTCTTCAAGTTTACTTTCATGGATTTTCAAACAGATCTGGAACAGATCTAGCCTTAGAAAGAGAGAAAATCAGAGTTATAAAGAGAGAAAGAAATAGTGGAAGACCAAAAACAACAATAAGCACACAGATTCACCAAAATTTCACTTTATCCTTATTTTTTCTTCTCTTCTGATGAACCAAACAGAAAAAGAAAAGAAAAAAACTAGATCATATATTTTTTTGACCAAAACCAAACAGAGATTGACTTTGTGTCTTATATTTTGCCTTTCTTTTGTTCTTTCTCTATTCAACTATATATATAGGGGCAATTTGGAAAAATAGCTAAAAGTTATCTTTTAACTTTGAATCCATTCAGAGTCACATCACCTCTCATATTTTTTACACATAAAAGGACAAAAAAAGTCAAAAAAAATAAAATAAAATAAAAAAGTCAACTTTTAACCAATTTTCCAAATCACCCATAGTTTCTAACTTAAAAAACATTCATACCTAATATATATATATATATATATATATAACTTTAATTCAATTACATTAAAGACAGTTATTCATCCCTTGACGTTTACAACAATGGAGTGAGAAGGAGCAATACATTAATGAAGCATTCGAGCGAAAGAGAGAAGGACCACGACTCGATGTAGTGCAGCTCGACGATGATACTCTCTTAGAGCCGTGACACCGCAACACCACCATCGCAAGGAAGGACCATCGGCACCGCCAAACATATCTGTTGAAATCTCGGCCTACGGTAGTCAGATCTTCTCATATTTGGCAGACCCACCAGTGAAGGAGGAGTAGAATGTGGTGGTGCAATGGATGTGAAGGCGGTAGGGGAGATCGATTGAGATTGAGGGAGTGAGATTGCGGTGAGAGAAATTGTGAGGAAGGGAGAGAGAGAGACAGAGACAGAGAGAGTGTGTGTGTGTGCGCGATGAGCGGTGGTCACAGAATGTCGGGAGCCATGAACCGCCGGTGGAGGTCATCGTTACCGTGTTGAAAAGAGAGGGAGATAGATTTGAGAAGAGAGATAGAGAGAGACTTGTGTTGTGTGACTGTGGACCGTCTCTATGATATATATATAGGGGTGTTTTAGTCATTTTGTCTAAGCTTGTCCTTCTGAACAAAGTATTTTAGCGTTTGGATCTTTGCCCTATTTTTAGGTACTACATTATTTTTTTAGTATAAAAATTAGCTTTGTTATTTTTTGTAATGTAAGGACAAAGTTGTCTTTTTACACCCAATCTCATGGGATTGGATTAGCAATCCCACTTCTCTCATGGAAAAGCTAATTCCCACCTATGTGGGGGTATGATAGTGTTATGGGATTACTAGTCTCTTTCTATTTTTGTCAACTAAACATGGCTTATGTAGTTCCCACAAGATTGTTAGTCTAATCCCCTCACTTTTGGATTCAAACAAACATGACCTAAGAGCAATATATTATTCTATTTACTGGTTGATACATAATAAATTATTTTCTAAATTTTTAACACAAAAGTGGTAGGTTCAATTAATGCTTTAATGCATATAAAAAGAAACGAGGATTTTTAGTAGCAAAATAAATAAATAAATTGAACTCAATTTTTGGAGTTTTAAACTCGAACGAGAATAAAGTTAACTAAACAAAAAAGATGTGAACAAAGAACTGAAAAAGTAAAGGAAATGAATGTTACCCTGCTTAGGCTTGAGCTCGGCCTTAGACTTGGACTTGGGCTTGAATTTGAGCTTGTGACTTGCCAGAGGAAGATAATAAAATGACAAGAAATGTGGCTATAATCACCAAGTGCATCAACATTTTTGAAATTGATGGGCATGGCCTAGGAGGGCCCAATCCATGGTTTTCTTGGGTTACCTAAATAGTCACTTGGTTAAAGCCTAGCAAGTGAAGCCCAGTAGCAGGCCCAATAGGGAACCTGCACCGGTCCAGGCTCAGTGGCGTTTAGACATGTGTCAAGTAGGGAGTTAGCCACGTGGCAGACAAAGATTTTGCAAAGTTATTGAACCCATACAACAAGCATTAAATGAGGCTGTCATGGCATTAAATGTAACATGACCTTTCGCTCTGGGGTATGATGAAATCACCATGACCGATGGAAAATAGTCTACAAACTTTCAGCCAACAAGACATCTTTAATGGGCAAGGAAATGATTAGTAAGAGATATAAAGAAGCTTCTAAAGAGCGTTTAAAAAACAAGTAACACACACACACTCTCTCTCTCTCTCTCTCACATAACTCCCAACATTCTCTCTACGTTATCATTCCAATCACATTCCCATCTAACTTGATTGTCAAAGGGTCCACAGGAAAGAGTCAACCCCATTTCGGAACCTTCTTACTGGACTTGTTGTAAGTGTGATCAAGAAGACAAAGCAAAGTCGACTTGTTGAGTGCTTGGATCAGTTCGACCCATATCCGACCAACCAGGCTGCTTTATCATAAATCAAAGCCAATTTTCTTTTTTCCTAGCTTCCTCTTCTTCTTTGGTTGATAACTTCAATTATCACCCTAATAGAAGTTTATACATACATAGGGGTGTCAAAATGGCCCGAGGCCTAAAGCCCGCCCGTGGCCTGGGGTATAGCGATTCTTGTTTAGACCTGACCCATTTGAGGTTTTGGATCCGGGTTTCATTGTCTTATATAGTTATTCATCCCTTGTTTCCCCTTATCTCTATTTGAGTTTGGCTTTTAGGATATGTTGATTGCATTTGGAACAGGTTGGTAGTTTGTTTTTCAAATTGTTGTTGCCCAAAATTTTATTCCTTTGCTCGAGCGACACTTTTTGCACTCGAGCGGTCTTTGTGAATCACCAATACTTTTGTAGGTCTGCAAAAATACTGGAAGTTGGTATTCTTCGCTCGAGCAAAGATTCTTACATTCGAGGGGTAATCTTCTGTCTGTAGAACTTTTGGGAGTTTGTATTATGCTCTTGAGCGAAACTTCTTGCGATCGAGCGGTAAAACTTATTTTGTCCAGTCGCCCGAGCGATCTGCTCGTATATCAGTTCGTAAAGTCACTTTTCTGAGTCACTTTTTCATCTCTCTCTCTCTCTAAACTTTTCAAAACCCTATTTTCCCTCACTCTCTCCCTAAAACTCATTGATTTCACTCGAATACACCTAGATCCGCCAATCTTTTCATCCGTGCCCCTTTGTTAAAAAGGTAAAGCTCGACAAGGGTTTTATTCTAATCGAAGCAAAGTCAATTTTCTGCGTCTTTGAGTTTCCTACACTCTCTTTCTTGTCTTCTAAGCTTGAGGTAGGAATATCTCCACACTCTTTTATGAGTTTTAACTTAGTTATTTGTTATTTCTAAACAATATTGCGTTTTTTGGGAATCTTGGAACAAACCTACGGTTTTGGGTAAAAATCAAAAGAGGGGTTTTTCAAATGGATCCTTGAAAATGATTGTGATGTTGTAAATAATGTTGAGTTGGGAAGAAATGGTTGATTTTGATACTTGGGATTGATTTTAGAAAGAAAGGGTTGTGTCTTAAATGCCTCAAATGTTGATTTTATATAAATAATGAGATTGATATTGAAATTGTGAGATTAGGTTGATATTGATGAGGATGGTGGAGTTAGATATGTATTATCACTCACATCTTGAAAGTTTAGAAACTTTATCT